CTCCAGCATCCCCTGCCGGGTTTGGTTGGACCTGCACTGCTGTTCAACTTACGCACACTCCAGCTTCTTCCTTTTTAAAAAAAGATTTATTAATTTATGCATACAAGAACTGGGGTACAGGCCAGAGAGAAGTTTGAGGGGTGAGAGGATTCACCAGAGACAGAGTGGTGAACAGAACAGGAGGAATGACTGAAATACACTGCTGAGGGGAGCAGCGGGCGAGACAGGAGACGTTTGCTGCGCCATGTGGGTAGATCCCTGGCCGGGGATGGAACTCGTGCTGCAGTGGCTGTGGAGAGCTATTCATTGGTTGTGTCTTAACCCCTTGCACCACCAGGGAAGCCCCATCAGCTTCCTTCTTTTCCTTTCAGAGGTTCTGATCCTTAATCAACATCTTGCACCCCAAGCTCCAAGTCAGCATCTCCTTACAGAGAACCAATCCTGTGATAAATAGGGAGAGTGATTTTCACTTCAAGAGGTCATTGTGCAAGAGCTAAACGGAATGCATATACAGGATCAAGCGTAGTGCCAGGATGACTCACAAACATGATAAATGTCTGTTCCTTCTCCTTTCCTTATCCTAAAACCTGTGACACTAAGTCCCACGCCAGGCCTTTAGCAATGAGTTGTTCATCACCTGTGCTATTTATCAGTTTGGATAAAGCCCAGAGAGGAAAGTGTTCCTTAAAGTCAGTGCTAGCTGCTAAGTTCAGGAGCCTGGCTGAGGACTCTAGAGACTGTCTTGTCCCTGTGAAGTTCATTATCCATGGATCACATCAGTCCCCTTCAAGGTTCCTCACTGAAAAGAAATTGAGCATGCAAATACTCTTTCATCATAATCACCACGTATCCATAGGATAATTCATAAAAGAGCTGGAAATATATTGAAATTCAATATTGTTTTAGTCCAAATCAATATTAATAATTGTTTGCATTTTTAAAGTGCAATTTGCAATTGAAAAATGCACAAAGATCAACCAGTAGTTGCTAACACATCAGATTTTCCTATTAAAGGCATAGTCCCTTAACTTTAAAAATGTTTCTTATACAACAGAGGATGGCACTGATCCATGAAAATGGTTATCTATTATTTACGTGCACAACATTAGAATTTGTTTCCATTATGCATGAATTGAAGGGCCAGTAACTTTTATTTTTTAAGTTCTAGATTTTTTTAATTATTTTTTGAGATCATTATAGATTCACAGACAGTTGTAGAAATAATAGAGAAATCCCATGTATACTCCAGTAACTTCCCCTGAGTAATAGCTTCTAAAACTACAGTACAATAGCTCAGTGAGGGGGCTGACACTGATACAGCTAAGACAGGAGACATTTCTATCTCCACAAGGACCCCTCATGTTGCCCTTTAAAATGAAAGATTTTTGCCTGACAAAGGTGATTATACATACCTTGGGGTCCCCATCATTAGCCCGATGTAGATTTCTATCATGAAATGAGATCTGTCCCAGCTGGCCTCAGTGTAGCCATTCAAACACAGAGCTCTGGTCTCCAGTTAGGGAGCAAAGCCTTAGGGGGGATTTGTCTCGGCCAGGCAGGCCTCAGCGGGGCATGACTTTGTGGGTCAGAAAGAACCGGAGGCCACAACTGACAGTTTGACACTTGCATCAAGGACCTTTGCTTCCTCAAACAGGGGAAAGGACTGGCAGCTTTGGCACATGGGGACCCACAGTTACCCAAACTCATGGCCAGGGACAACAGGTGTGGGCCAAGAACGCCAAGCCAGGGGGCCACCTGAAAGTGGCTTCATGCTAATGAAATTCTCGAGGTTTCTTTCTGTTCTCCAAGACATTTGTTTGACACTAGAGCTGCAAGAAACTTGGGGCTCATCTACAGTGGGTATTTTGTTTATATTGGTCTTGTTTTAAAGATTTATTTATGCATGCAAGAACTGGGGTGTAGGCCAGAGGTGTGGGGGAGGGGAGGGGAGAGGATTCACCAGAGACAGAGTGGGGAGCAGAGCAGGCAGATCTACTGAAATACACTGCTCAGGGGAGCAACGGGTGAAACAGGAGGGGTCTGCTGCACCATGTGGGTCAGCTCCCTGGCTGGGAATAGAACTCCTGTTGGAGTGGCTGGCGATAGCTTGATAGTGCTGTCTTTAACCCCTGCACCACCAGGGAAGCCCTATAGTTTCTATTTTGAATGGGCCCTGCTTCTGAGATGAGAAAACTCAAATCCTGAGGTCAACAGCTAATTGGAGGGGAAGCCAGTTCTGGAACTTGGGCTCCCTGCTCTGAGCCTGGCTTTGTTAAAGCTGCTGGGGCTTACAACCCAGCTCCCCCGTGTTCTGTCATGTATATCAGATGGACTTGAACTTGACTTCTCAGGTCTTCCTGGTCTTCCTGACTCCTAGACCCACACAGCCTATCACCTGGGGCATGAGAGAAACTAACAGAGAGTGACTTCTGCTCAGTACCGACCTAAAGTCAATTAAAAATCTTCTTGCAGAGATCTTTTTAGTGTGATAAAATATACATAGTATAAAATTTACCATTTTAACATTATCCGGTCCCAGAATCTTTTTCATCTTCCCAGGCTGATATTCTACACCCATTAAGTAATAATTCCCCGTACCCCCCTTCCTGGTATCCCTGGAAGCAACTCTTCCACTTTCGGACACTTAACTTGACTACTCTGGATACCTCATATGAGTGGAATCTGCAACATATATCCTTAGTGACTGGTTTATTTCACTTAGCTGAGTGCCTCAAGGTTCAGCCAGGTCTGTGGCATGTGCTGCCTTCATTGGTTCTTGATCAACACATTTAAACCAATTTTGTTGGGGAGCTTCCTAAGCATCATACTGTATTCTTTTTAAAGATTTTATTTATGCATACAAGAGCTGGGGTACAGGCCAGAGAAGTGGGGGGTGACAGGATTCACCAGAGACAGAGTGGGGAACAGAACAGGCAGATTGACCAAAGTACACTGCTGAGGGGAGCAGTGGGTGAGTCAGGAAAGGTCTGCTGCACCATGTGGGTTGCTCCCTGGCCAGCCAGCAATCAAACTCATGCTGCAGAGGCCGTGGATTCCTTCATAGTGCAGTGCTTAACCCCTTGCACCACCAGGGAGGCCCCATACTGTATTCTAAAGATTCGGTGTTAATCAATTGTGTGAAATCTGAACAATTTGTATACGTTTGTGTAGATATGCCATGTGTTAATATACATGGGCGTTTAGACATAGAATCCACATTTCACCACAATTTTGCAATCTGTCCCGTCCACCGGAGCACCCTGGGTGTGAGTGTGTGCTGGATATCTGGGAGCTGTGACTCTGGACTCCCTGGTGGATATCACTTCCTCACCTCTTCTCTCATAGGCAGTCCTCTTCAGACTAGTTCTAACCCAAACCTGATTAAAACAAACCCACAGCTCCCTGAAACAGAAGTGACCTTTTTAAAATTCCAGGTTCATGGAACGCCTCCCTCCCGATAACCCAAACACCTCCATCTATTAACTCGTGCTCATTCAACAGGCAGCATAAGTTATTGATCACCCTCCCTGTGCCAGGAACTGTGCTAAGTGCTGGGAATACAAAGATGAGAGGCTCCGCGCTGCTCTCGCAGCTCCAAGAGTCTGAGATGGGTATGGGAATGCATGCCACGCAGTGGGGGAAGGGCTGTAAGCAAGACACCCGCATTCACAAGATGGAGGGTTCTGCGTCCTCGTTCCAGGCTCGGCCAGGGTGGGGCTGGGGAGGGACTCAGTTTCTCTGCCTGCAGAATGCAGAATCACTACCCCCTCCCTGTCCCATGAGATGTCCTGAAAATTAAGAAGTCCCGGGCAGAGATGTCACCCCTGATGTGGTTCTGATGCTAATAGCAATTGAGAACTTGCGGTCTGCGTGCCTTGCTCAAGCTTTAGGGCCCCTGGCTGCAGATGTGTGCTTTCAGGCTTTCCTCCAGTCTCTTTGTGTGAGCAACAGTGGGAAGCAAGGCTGAGGTGCTCCTAGCGAGCGGGTCGTTGGCATGGGCTTGCAGGCTGCTTGGGCCTGATTTATGCGTGGGTCTCTGTTTCAGGACTCCCTTCAGTCCACCCCCTGCAGAGAGTGTGGGCGAGGGTGGGGATTGGAGGGAATCCCTGCCTTGTAACAGGGGAATGCATGGCCGGTCTCCTCCCCAGCCCCTTAGGGATTGAAGTGCAGCCCCAGGCTGGGTGTGCCCAGGCTGGGCACTGGGCATTTCAGGACCCAGGCCAGCGCCCCAAGTCGGGCAGGGCTAGAGCGATTCTGAGCCTGCAGCTTTGCCTCTGTCTGAGTCCTTGCAACCATTCGTCATCCTAGCAGAGCTTGCAACTTTATGCCTACGCATAAAAACTGGAGGGACTCGTCCTGGAGTTTGCCGCTGCTGTTAGAGCAGTTTTAATTAGCTGCAGGATTCTAATGAGCTGGAATCAAGAAGAGCCCCATCTCAGAAGTAAGCAGGAGCCGCACACACGGAAGAACTGTCTGACAAAACAGATGGAGGTTGTGTTCTCGGGGGACCAGGCTGTGTGCTCTGTTTCGGCGAGGAGCAAATGAGTTACTGGGGCCAGGAGGCTGAGGAGGGGAGCCAGGAGGTCAGCCCCAGCGCGCCGACCTGGAGGGGGCAGAGCAGAGGCACGGCCCCCTCTGCCACCACGGCAGAACGCTCGCTCGCTCGGTGCCGGATTCAAGGTGACGGCTGTGGCTGGCTCCATTCTCCTCAAGTTGCCATAGCAGCCTCTCTCCGATGAACAGCTTCTCCTAGAGCCCTCAGCCGGGAGGGACGTCATTGTTCACTCCTGCCCGTGCGAGGAGACTGACTGGACAGAGAACTTTCGGGACCTGGGGTCTGCACACCACGTGGGTGCACCCATGGGCATCGGCCTGACACCTCCTACTGCCTCCCGTGGGGCGTGGGCGCAGGTCCCCAAGGCCAGAGGGAGCCCCTGGCTGATTGGGTGGCGTGTCCAGGTGTTGGAGCAGCTGCAGCCAAGCGTGTCCTTGGAGGCGTCCGTCCGTCTGCCTGCCGGCCCTTCGCCACTGGAGGTGCGTGTGTTTTGGCTGAATTCCCAAGTCCCTGCTTGTGCCCTGAAATGAATTTTCCAAAGAGACAAAATTTTACATCAGATAAATAAGGAAATGGGAGGAATCCTTGGCCCTGCCCTGTGTCCCAGGAGGTGTTTACAAAATTAATTGGATTTTTTTTTCCCCTTACAGTAAAAATTGGTGACGCTATTCAGGCCTTGGGGAGAGAAACCTCCGGGACAACTAGGAATTGGGAGGAGGGCAGGACCTTCTGGAAACTCACTGGGCTGTTTATTTTTCTTGCCTTACCCCTCCCCCATCATTACTTGAATTTTCTTATTGTCTGTTGGCCTTGGAAGGGAGTAGGAGAGGGCTTTCTGCTTGTCGTTGGAGCTGAGTGGGATGCAGTGTGTGGAGAGGTGTGTTGTCCCAAGTGGCCTGGAGGCCTGTGGAGGTGTGTGTGGGGCCCCAACCGGTGACAGATGGTAACATCCACCCCCAGGAGAGGGAAACACGCAGCTTAGACCAGCATCTCCCCATTGCCTTGAAAATAATGTGTGACTTTAAAGACAAGGATCCTCAGGGGAACAATAGGGGATCAGCTGTGCACACCCCAGGGGGAGGGGGTTGCCTATTGGAGGCCTCTCATGTACTGCCACTTTTAATGGAGAAGCTTCCTGCAGATTGTGTGATGCCGGACCCTCGTCAGTGCCCCCTGGGACTTTGAACACCCAGTCGGACTGCAGACCAGTCCCCCAGGAAGGGAGCTGTGCTGACCTTCTGATTCCCCCTCACACAGGGCAGGGCAGCTGGGCAGCTGGTCTCCCGTGAGAGCACGCCCTGGGGGCGTCCAGAGGGAAGGCCGGGGCTGCGCTGGGGTCTGCACGGGGAAAGCAGGTGTGGTCGGTCCCGGCCGCTGCTCCTGGGGAGGGTGCTGGTCTTCTCCCGGGGTGGGGGCAGCAAAGGGGAGGGTCTCTGAAATGAAGGTACAAGTCCTGGGGCTGTGTGCTGTCCCCACTAGATTCGGGGTGAGGATGTTTCTCACCTGGCCCGCAGCACTGGGGTGCCGGTGCCTGGCTCCATGCGGTGGGTCTAGTTGCAGCAGGTTAGAAACGCGTGAGAACGGGTCGTGGCTGCAGAACAAGGCACGTCTGTGCTGGCTGAACTGGGACAGTGTGACAGACTGGGGAGAAGCGGGCTCTGCCCAGCTCCTCCGTAGTCATTTTTGCAGCGCCAGCTACTGCACAAACAACACCATGATGACCCCACTTGCATTTGAGTCCCCCTTTTCATCAGACAGAGTCTTTGGGCCGAGATCGGGTGGCCCTTTACTAGCCGTGTTGAAGGCATTAAACCCGGCAGCTCTAAACTTACCCTTTCTTCCCTCTCTCCCTCCCTGGAGATGTCCCGAGGCCAGGCCAGAGGCCACCCTAGATCAGACTGGCCTTCTGGCCTGGAGCCGGACCCAGGAGGCCAGAGTGGCAGCAAGACGTGTCCACAGGATGCCCAGCACCAGCAGGGATTCTTGGCTGTCTCCGAAAGCTAGGGCCCTGCGGGGACTGGCAGTGGTGCCCCACCAGTGTACAGAGGGCACATGCGTGTGAGCATGCGTGCACAAACACGTGTGCAAGATAGGCTTTGCACTGCCTCCCTGCTTCCCAGTAGAGTCCTATCCCCACTGCCTTGTTGGGTATAATGAATGTCCTTCACTCTCTTTCTGTGACTCCTGGGTATCCCAAGGGATTAAATGAACTGATTGGCAGAGGGGGGTTTGGAGGGGGCCCAGAGCCAGGGCAAGAGTCTAGTAGCTCTGGCTGCGCCTTCTCTCCTTCCCCCACACCCCACCATCTGTCAGTCACTCACACTCCCCTGCCGGGTGCACTGGGCCCTGCGTGATCGCCTGTCACAGTGGACAGACGGGCTTGGGAGGCCGCAGGCATCAGGCTTGCTGTGGGCAGCCTGGCCTCGTCCTTCACTGGGGCCTGCGCTGCTGCCCCTGCGTCCTTGTGGTCAACGAACTTGTCTCCCATTCCTGTTCCAGAGGGCCAGGCCTCGAGCCATGAAGAGCTCCAGGGGCCGAGTCTTTGGGGACATGTCCCCACTCTTACCCACTGCCAGCTCAGGGCAGGGTGTCTGCGACGGCAGGAAGCCAGCAGCCCTTCTCTGGGAGAGGGGTCGTTGCGGTGAGGTACCCCCAGAGGCAGCTCCAGAGACAAAACTGAGCCCAACTCAGTGCAGCCTCCCCAACGCGAAAGCTGGGAGGTCCTGGAAACCACCTGCTCAGCGCCCAGGAGCCGTGCAGGCACATTCCCCATGCGTGGAGGCCTGGGGCAGGTTAATTAAAGTTAACTGAGTGAAAAAATAATTACAGAGACTGCAGAGGGGAGAAATCCAAACCTGCAATTTAACACTCCTCAGCCCCAGAGCTTTGCGGAGAACAGTCTGGTTCTTGGGAATTTTTGTCTGGACGGGGAGGCGAGAGGCTTCTCACCGCTTTAGGCTCTGTGCCATATAAGCAGAGGGCCACAGCTGTGCCTGCCTCCCCCGGGCCTGGGTGCCAGGTCAAGGAGGGGCTCTCGGTCGCTGTGCCCGAGGACATCCCAGCTGGGAAAACGGTCTGGCCACCCGGCTGTGGTCTCGGAGGCTGCCGGGAGCCACCCACCTGCCTCAGCCTCCTGGGGTGCTGCGCTGGGCTGCAGTAGTGAACGCGCCCCTTCAGGCTCCTCAGGAGGAATGAGGGTGGTGTCTCTGGGCCAGGCCAGCAGGGCTGGTGAAGGTAAGGGGGCCAAGTGACGTGCCTCCAAAGGGAGGGCCCCGGGATGGCGCCGCCGATCCCCGTGTGGGTCTGCACCCACCCCACTCCCCCGCGCCCTGCCTCTCCATGGAACTCCCATCTTTCCTTTGCGCAAATGGCCTGGGCTGCCCCCATCTTGATCTACCATCTGTTTCAACTGGGGTTACTCACTGGTGTTTGGGGTGTTTAGAATTTCTGTCCCTTCAGTGAGGGACAGGTCACGTGGTCTGCAGTGACCAGAGCAGCAAGTGTCCGTCTGCAGAAGCACGAGGAAGGGACCTTGGCGCTAGCTTCTGGGCCCCTGGGCCTGGGATCTGTTGGACACTGGTATGGCCACCCTGCCTGCGCTCCAGGCCTTAGAGCCTCAAGAGCAGAGACAGCCATCTTGGCCCAGCACTTCAGTTTCTGCCCGTGCCACTGTCCAGCAGGGCCTGACCCCTCCAGCCCACCCATCCGTCTGTCAGGAGGGGCAGCTCTGGCTGGTCCAGGGCTGGGGGATGGGGAAGCAGTCTGTCCCTGATACCCTCTGGGCCTGGGAGTGACCTTCTCAAAGTCACCTACTCCATGGAGACCCTTGTTCCCCAAATCTCATAGAGAGGGACCAAGTGGAGGGAGATGGAGGCTTCTATGCCTGCTGGGCCAGTTGCAAGGAATGAGGGCCTGTATTCCTGCCTGTACCTGGACTTCCCTTGGGGAGTCCACATGCATCGTTTTGGGGCTCCTAGAACCTGGGCAGCGTGTAGGGGGATGGCTGCTGTCACCAGCTGTGGTCTCAGGGCTCCACCGTGGCCTTGCACGGGGAGAAGGGCTGCAGGCAGCACACTTGTTCAGTGACGGGGCCTCAGGCTTCCCAGCTGGCCTCAGTGACAGACCTTCTTTCTCCCGTCTGCCCTGTAGACCCTGGCCTGATGGACACCTGGTGTGGACGATGAGGGAAGGAAGCGTCTCCCACACCCACGCGGTGACCCCGGAGCGAGCCCTGGATGACCCTTCGAACTGGCATGATGCGGCTGGCCTGCATGTTCTCGTCCATCCTGCTGTTCGGAGTGGCAGGCCTTCTGCTCTTCATCAGCCTGCAGGACCCCACGGAGCTCGCCCCCCAGCAGGTGCCAGGTGAGCCTTCATGCTGCCGGCTGCCTGCTTGCCCCCAGTTTCCCACTCAGGGCGCAGGGCCCATGGCTGCTCTGGTGTGCTGGGCCTGACCACAGGCCTTGGGCTGGAATTGGGGTCACGTCTGTACTGAGCACCCAGCAGGCAGGGGAGGGGTCCTGGCCTCCTCCTGGTGTTATCAGCCTCATGTGGGAACACTGTGTTTGATATCAGATCACCAGCCTCAGGGGCCTGGCCTCTAACCTCTGACCTCTGGCCTCTTGGGATTGATGGCCAGGCTGCTCACTGCTCAGCAGGTTGTTGCCTTTGGTGAAACCCACATTTAAGGAGGATTCTGCCACCTCTTAGGGCCTCCTCATCTACATGGTCTAGGACATCAGAGAGTAACTCTCCCCAAGTGGCACTGTTTCTCTCCCCAGCTCTGGGGACCCCTCTGGTCCTTGCAAGGGGAGTTGGGGTGCCTCCCAGCTTTGTGAGGCTAAGACTGCTCCTGATGACCCCCCCACTGCTGCCTCCCATGCCACCTGTCCCTCATGACGCACTGGCAGGAGCCACCTGCCTGGCAGAGGTCTTCCGGGACAGGTGAGAGGGAGTAAGAAAGGCGGGGGGGTCTGGAGAGGGGAGCTGGGTGAGGTCCCTGCCACTGACACGCAGCCCGGTTGAAGGTCACACCTGCCCCAGGACAGGGTGGGAGGAAAGAGCATGGAGCCCTGCGCTTTAGGCAGAGAGGTCCCTGCACCACCCTTGCTGCTGCCCACAGGACAGGAGGATGAGACCCTGGCCTTCAGGGAGGGCACAGGGGGACTCAGACCTGCAGCCTCCTCTCCCAGCTCCCCCTCGCCCTGGCCGGCTCACACTCCAGGGTCGCTGTGCACCCACCCTGAGCATTCTGTGGGAAGGCAGAGAGAGCACGAGGCAGCCAGAACTGGGGCTCAGGGCCGGTCCGCTGCTCCCCGAAGCCCTGGTAGTGAGAGGCAGTGGCCCCAGGGGACAGCCGGTGAGTCAACGCTGCTGATTCACGTCTGGACCAGACCTCACAGGTGGTGACTGTCAAAAGTGGGTTGGCTGCTTCCCAGCTTCAGAAGAAGCAAGGATGAGTGACAGAGCTGGCTCCCCTGTGGGGACTTTGCTGCCTTTCCTGGGACGGCTGATGATGCCGCATCAGCAGGACCAGACTCCTGGGGCAGCGGCATCAGGGTGGACGGAGAGCCGGTCCCACTGCTGTTTCTATCTGTGCTAGAGCAAGCTCCTGGGAAGGGCGCTCAAACAGAGCTGGGGCACAGGGCACCCGTGTATCCTGCATATGTGTGACCATCTGCTGTGGGCGGCAGCAAGGTGGGGTACAGGGAGCTTTCTGCCAAAGCCCTGGTCTCCTCTGCTCTTTCATGTCCTCGAGCACATGTGCCCTCCCTTAGGGAGGCCCCCAGGACCACATGAGCAGAGGGTCCGCGTGCCCACTGCCTGTGGGACCTGCCGGGAAGAGAAGCCAGGAGTGTGTCACCGGTGTCCACCCAGGCCAGCGGCCATGCGTCCATCTGTGGGTTAGTTCTGGTGGCCGAGACATGTGTCCTGCAGCGGCTGGCACAGCAGAGCTTGCTCCTGCATCTTCCGTGGGCAGTGGATTCCTGCCCCTCCCACCAGCCAACACTGCCCCGCAGCTGCCCAGTGCACACAAGTACAATTTCCCAGTGATCGGGGGCCCACGGGCTAACTGGGTTACCAGTGATCGGGGGCCCACGGGCTAACTGGGTTAGAGTGGTGAGCGGGCAGGGCGTGTAGGGTGGCAAGAAGCAGAGCGAGCCTCCCCTGCACCCAGGCACAGGGTGGGCATATCCAGGTCAGGAGCGTAGTTGGGTCTTGAGGTGTGTTCTTGGGCTATAAATAGAGCTGGCCCACCCTTGCCACGCACCAGGTGATGGGCACCCTTGACAGTCTAGGTAAATCACATCAAACACAGTCATAAAACTTTAAGTAATGCTTACGTTACTTTCCCTAAGCAAAGTGTTCCTGACACAGGCTGTTTGTGTTGATTTGTTACTATTCATTTATTCTTTCCCTGTACTTCTCACAGCAGCCTAATTGTGATTCGGTACCAAGAAAGCAATATCAAAGTAATTTTCCACAACATTAGTTACAATTTTCTTCTGATCTTTCAAGTGAAACAATCCCATCCTGTTGGCTTCTCTGAGCATATAAACCTTGATTACATTTATCTGTTGGAAACCAGTGCTTACAAAGTGTATGTATCCAGTTGCATGGGTGGGTGGTCCCAAGGGCCCCGGACAAGCCTTCCCTCTGTGGTTTTTGCAGGTGGGAGGTGCAGAATCTGGAGGTGCCCTGCCATCTGGATCAGGCAAGGCTGCTAAGTGGGGGGCGCAGTGCCCATCTCCAAAGGAAATTCCACGAGGGCTGTGATGGCTTTCCCAGAGACGGAAACTTTGATGGGATCCAAGTGTCTGGAGTCTGCTGTTAGTGGCACTGACAGAGGTGGAGGGACAGTGAGCAGCGAGAGATGGGAGCTTTTGGGCTTGCTGTCTCTCCAGGGCATCAGGTGTTGTTCAGATTTCTCCCATGCAGCCACCAGGTGTTAGTGACACCTGAACTTCCTAGGAAACAGTCAGCAAATCTCCCCTGGCTCATGCATTAACTGGAATCTTACAGGGTTGCCAACTTTTGGAAATCAAGCCACATTTTAAATCAAATCTTTTGAAATGTGAATGGCTACTGGTTAAACTACCTGCACTCTAAGAGCAGATTTTCTGGTGTTTCACAAAATCCATGTATACAACTATTTTTAGTGTCCAAAATGGCAGGTCCTGAGGCCTCAGCAAACTCACTGGTCAAGCATCCAGGACAAAAAATCACAGACCTTCCCAGGTGGGAGACAGAAACCAGACCAGAAGCAGAATAACAAACTCCTTGTGCTGGCAGTGAGGGAGACAGAGGCAGACTCCATGGGTGTGTCTGGGCAAACTGGAGTCTGATGAACTGCCTTTCTTTATGAACTTTTTTTTCAAGATTTATTTTCATAAATAAATGAAAATCCTCTCTCCTGCCACAGCTCCTTCCTGGTGAATCCTCTCACCACACACCCCCCCCCTACACCTCTGGCCTACACCCCAGTTCTTCTATGCAAAAATAATCAATATTTTTTTAAAAAGTGAGGTCACCCCATGTTTCATGGAGTAGTGGGTGGTTCTGAGGTGCAGAGAGTTGACGGCAGCCTCAGTGACAGCAGGGCCTGCTGGGGGGCCCTAGTATAGACAAAGGAAAGGCAGGGACAGCCCCTCATGGCTTCCTGGTCTGTAGTCCACCCCAGGGCATTCCCTCCAGGGCATAAGGGTACCCAAGGATAATAGTAATGAGCGCCCACCAGGCAGTCACTGGGATCCCCGACCTGCGCCAAGCACTCCCGTCTCCAGTGTATATGGCTCCTCACTACGGGGGCTCCTACGTACAGACGAGGTGCTGCACGCTCACTCGGGCGGGCACAAGCTCCGCTCCAGGCGTTGGCTAAGGCTCGCAGGCTCTCCCTGGTGCTGGGCACTGCCACAGGCACTTACGTGTGCTTAGCCTCACATAATACTACCAGAACCCCACGAGCTACGGACCATTGCACCACCTGACAGGCGGGACTGCGGAGGTGAGAGGCCTTAGGAGCCTAGGGTTTGTCCTGGGGCACCTGGCTGTGCCCACCGCATCTTCCACTGTCCCGACAGTTGTGTGCTGCCTGCCGCGGGCCAGCACGGGCTGGATTGAGAAGGAGCAAGGGCCAGGGGTGCGAGAAGGCGGCAGGGGAAGAACTCCCAGTGGATTAGGGATGGGAGCGCGACCGGCAGGTCTAGGATTACCCTGGAGCTGGCGTCCCTGTGAGCCGTGGAGCTCCACAGAGAAGCAAGCCTCTGCTGCAGGCCTTGGGGGGCACTGGGGACTTGGGTGGGGGGTGGCTTTAGAAGCCCACTCTGGAGTCTGTCAAGGAGCTGTGGCAGGAGAGGGGAGGCCAGCTGGGGGTTACCGAGTGTTTCAGAAGAGGTGGCAGGGTCTAGGCGGGCAGCAACAGGGAAGGGTAGATTCTGGGGCTTCAGAGGGGCTTGAGGACCACGTGGGTGGGTGGGTGAGCCATCTAGGTTGGGGATGACTCAGGATTTCTGGCAGATGGAGTTCGGGGTGCCACTCACTGAGGCAGGGGACAGCCAGGGGCAGTGGGCAGCAGACCATGAATTCTGTGTTGCCCTAAAATCCCTCTATTGAGGCCTCAGGCCCCACAGACCTTGGGACCAGGCAAGAGACAGGAAGCCCCGACTCTGCCCCATCCCTCCTCCACCTTCATCTCTACTGACAGGTCAGGCACTCCTCCGCTCTCCTGCACCTGATGCCAGAGTCCTGGCTGGAGAAGTCAGGAAGACTTCCTGGAGGAGGTTGCTTGTTTACCTTCTCAGGTACACCAGAGACCAGGTGCTGACCTCCAGCGGAGGCAGTGAGGTGAGCTTGGGTGAGACTCTGGGGTCTTTTTCCAGGGCACACTCTGCCGAGCAGCTTGCCTGAAATCTCACCAGAAATAGAGCCAAATCCTATGCCCATGGGTCTGGCCCACTCAGGGCTCCTGCGTTGGTCCCCTGGAGGCAGGGCCATGTTGGTCGGAGAAAGTGGCCCTCACTCTCAGTCCCAAGGTGCCCCACAATACCAGCCCTATCTGTGCCAGCGCAGCACCAAGGCCTGCACTGCAGTGTCAAGTTCATCTTATTCCAATAGCAGCAGCCTTTGTCCAGGTGTGTCCCTTGGATCTCTGAAACCACACCTCCAGACCCAAATCCCTTGCTGGACCACGGCCACAGGAGTATATGCTCAGTCCCTCAACAGTTCACCGTGCGAGGGAGATAACGAGCAGATGTGTGGTGGCCACCTCCTTCCCGCCTCTGCACGCGGGGGCAGGCCAGCCTTCCGGAGCTGGGCTGTCTGAGCCCACAGCACTTCCCGGGCCCACGGCTGCAGCCGCTCCACTT